AAAAAAAGTCCTTTATTGTGTACAAGCAATCTTTTTATAGTATTGTGAACAAAGAAGGCAGCCTTCCAACAGCAATAAATCAGGTCTTTCAGCTAATTAAACATAGCATACAGAAGTTTTACTTTCTAATCAGAAGTGACCCGCTTCTCATGGCTAATCTACTCTTGACTTAAGAGTATGCTGAGCTCTGCTCTTTGTTTAGAACAGATAAAAAAATTTTTCTCAGCGCCCTCCTAGCCCACTTGGCAGAACATCCTGTTTGCAGGCAAGTCCTCCCAAAGACAGCAGACACCTCGTTTTCAAGCATGTCCGCTGTTACCTTATCTAAACCTTGAAGGAGCCTCTCGTTTGCGAGTAGGCCCTCCCAAGGACAGCAGACACCTCGTTTTCAAGCATGTCCGCTGTTACATATCTATACCTTGACAGAATATCCCGTTTGCAGGCAGACTCCATCAAGGACAGTAATAGTAACACAGTTACCTCTGATTCTCTACAAAAATTCTATCCCAAACAGGGAAAAGGGGTAATATCACAAAGGAACAGGTGAGTGTAGCTCAATCCATGGGGCGACACACCTATGTCTGAAGACACATCCTCAAACTTCCGGGACCGGGGCAATGTCCAGGTAGTGTCAAAGCTTCTTCACTCCAGGACTGAGAACACAAATCATTCAGAGTGGCCTCCCACATGCTTGAACCTCATGGAATATATTATTAAAGCCTGAAGGGCCTTGGAGAGGGTAACAGCAGAGCCTTTGTGAAGGAGTTTGCTGGGGAATTTGAAGGAACATATTGAAATTCCATAGAACACGGAGAAAATGGGACTTTGTTTTGTAGATGAAAAATGGAAAATTTATCTGAAAGGAAAGTAACCATGACACTTGGAGCGACCAAGAGATCTTTATTGTGGCGATGTTTGATCGATAGGAGAAAGAGAAGGAGAGAGAGAGAGAAAAGGTGGGGAAGATGTTATGCCAGATTCGTGGGACCCCAATAGACCTCCAGGAGCCGAATCCGATGCAAGCACACAAGAGTCTTTATTGCAAGCTCGAGCCTGGACTCACRACCGCTCACTCCCAGGGAGTGAGCCCTGGTCCTTTGTTCAGTGAGATTTTATAGGTTTTAGGGGGATACTCTATGCATCACTACATCACACAGCAAATCATTCCATCCCGAGGGAAAATCAAACCACAACTCTTAACATTGATTAGCACATTCAATGGTGGGAACAAGAAGGGTAGGGGTGATTGGTTAGTACAAGAAGGGCATTCTTTTGAACTGATTGGTTTAGGCCATGAGGGTTGTACGTGCTGAACTACATGGTTTCCCAACATGTTATCAACCACCATATACTACTTGGGGGTCATCTGGCATTCCAGGTATTTTCCCTGTCTCATGCTGATTGGAGGTTGCTAGAGGGGTTGCTATGGGTCCTTACCTAGCCTAACTGAGTCAGGGACACATGGTGCCACATACCTCTCCTGTTATTTACAGACAAACAACTCAGCTGGATGGGTATGTGCTTAGGAGTGCTCTGTGGGTTTTTCCAAGAACAAGGGTCACACCCCCTTCCTTGGACAGGCTTTGCTCTGAGGTAGAGGCTGGTTTCTCAAAAATGGAGTCACATTAGTTTTCAGAGCAAAGCAAGAGAGAGGAGAGAGAGAGAGAGAGAGAGAGAGAGAGAATCAGAGAGAGAGAGAGAGAGAGAGAGATGGGGGGGGCAGCAGGAGAGAGTTTTTATAGCCAAAATCTAATGGGGTGTTTGGGTCTGCAAGCTGCCTTGTTGGCGCAGTGATTGGATCATACAGTAGTTGCTAAGGTGTCATCTTCTGCCTTCAGGCAGACCGGGCAGGGTGGGTTTTGGTTGCACCAGATGAGTGGGGCTGAGTGTTCAGACTTRAGGCAAACAAGTGATCATGAACCAAACAAATGGGGGTCAAGTGTCCAGGCTACCCTGCAGCTAAGCCTGCTCCACAACTAACATTACCTACTGACCTCTAATGTTGTAGATAAGTGAGTTTTAAACAATGTATTCAGGATACTACCTGGCTTTCGCGATGCGTATAACAAAGTGAGAGCAATGAGAAACTAAAACTGAGCTATTACATGGAGGAAATGTCTTTCTATTCAATAACCTTCTCAGCAAAAGCAAGGTCCTCAGAAAAAAGATGAAATGCAGGGCAGGCTATAATATGATTAGGTGCGATTTCAGATGGATTCAGAGGTGCCTAATGAACACCTTCAAACAAATACAGGCCTTTTGAGGGCATGCTTCTGTGGAACCTCTTGCAAACAACAGAGCCATTAGGAATTAATTTTTTTTCTTCAGTGCTGGGCATTGAAGGCAACTTAGGGCCTTCTGCATATTAGGCAAGTGCTTTACCACTGAGCTACATCCTTAATGACAGCCGCTGTGTGTTTCAAGGGTGTGCCCCCACTAAACAGAGCCCAAGGTACAGAAACAAAGACATTTATCAGGAGCTGGGGCTGGGGTCAGCAGTAGCACACTTGTCTGGCATGTGTCCGGCACTAGGTTTATAAATAAATAAAGGTCTATCAACACCCCCTCCCCCCCCAAAAAAAAGAGACATTTATCAGGAGGTAGTTTTTGCCTAAAGCAGTCGCCCATGGCCCCCTTCCTCCCACAGCCCCCCCATCCCCCCAGGCTCCTCCCACAGCCCCCTCATCTTCTCCAGGCTCCTCCCACGCCCCCCCCATCTTCTCCAGGCTCCTTCCAAAGGCTCCTCTCACGGTCCTCCAGCTCCCACAGCTCCACCGACCGGCTGCTCCTACAGCTACTCCCACAGTTCCACCCACAGGTTCTCCCAAGGGCTTCTTCCAGGGGCTTCCCCCACGCGCGCTTTTCTTGGGAGTCTGCGTATCTGACGGGGCGCGCGTCCCGCAGAGCACACTGGGAGCGGTAGTTCTGCGCAACACTCCATCGCGCACGCGCTCTCTGCCGAGCCGTCCTGCTCTTTGTCCTTCGCTGCCCGGAGGCGTGCGCGCTGGTCGCTGTCTCCTTGGGGCCTCGGTGGCCGGCCCTGGGCTGCGTATTTCTGCGTCTGGTTGGGCGGCGCGACGATGTTGGGGGATCCGGGTGACGTGCCGGCTGAGGGGAGGTGGTGTCTGCGACGGGCGGCAGGCCGGGGCGGGAGCGCGGGCGAGAATCTGGGGGCGAGTCCGGGGGCGCGCGGCGGGGCGGGGCGGGGCGGGAATGCGGGCGGGAACCGGGGGCGCGCGGAGGCCGGGCTCGGTAGCAGGCGGCCGCTGCGCTCTGTAGGTTACCTGACAGAGGCTGACCCTGGCGGGCCCTTCTTGGCCTGAAGCCGGCTCTGGGTTTGATACTGGCTTCCCTTTTCATCGAAGAGACTTGCCGTTGTGAAATCTGCTGCTGTGCCTTTGTTTCAGCCGGTGGTGCTGGTCTGACACCGCTCTGCTGGCAGGTTGTTTTGTTGAAGTCAAGGACTTAATTCTTGATCAGTTATGATAAATATGAAATGTGTGATGGGTTTCAAGCATTTTAATAAACATTAAAAAGAGCGTTATTCCTGATACATGACCGAAGGTGGTCGCCTTGGTGCCTTTATAGTCAGCAAACGTAGGTACGCTTTTTAATGAGTCTTACCTTTTTATATTTACTTAAAAAAAAAAAAAACAAGATTGAGAACATGCTGCTTTAAGTCATAACGGCATATCATTGCTATCTTTCCTTAAAATGTTTTGTTCAAAGTGGGGAATTTAAACTTACTCCGGGAGTTCTCATCAGGCTCCTGATGACTTGTCTGTTTCTCTTGCTTTTGTTCCTAGTCTGTCGGGGAGATACCAGTTCTTTATATGGGACTGTGTTGCACCTGTGCTCTGAGTGTAGACAGAGCAGAGAAGGCCTTTGCCTACTCCACCCCTCTGTCTTGTGGTGGGTGGTCACAGGCTCTGAACAGAACTGCATAGGTCCAGGGCCCAGGTGTGAGGCTTCCTGGCATCCTGGTACATGTTGGGAAAGAGGTGAACCTCTTTGTTACACACACACACTCACACTCTCTTTCTCTCTCTCACCAGAGATTGAACCTAGGCGTCCTCTACCACTGAGCTACATCCCGGTATCCAGGTCCTTTTTTGCTTTGAAATAGGGTTCCCAAGTCGATGAAGCTGGTGTCAAACTTGCAATGGATCCTCCTGCCTCAGTCTGCTGACTCCCAAATCTCTGGGATTCAAAGTGCCTGTCTCCTTGCTGTTCTCTGTACTGGGTTTTCTGCACTGGGTTTTGTGGGGAAAAATCTTCCGGTGCATGGCAAGTAAGTTACTTTTTCTTCTCTGTCTTTCTTGGATATTCTCTTAGAATTCGAAGAAGCCTGGAACTGTAGGATGAAAATGCAAGTTGCCCCTCCCTTTCAAAGATGCACGTGAGAGCTGCTATCACAGGGAGCAATGTAGTGTTCGCAGGAAACTGCCACGGTGAAAAAATGAAGCCAGTGAAGTTAAAATGAGCCACATTCTGCAGTGAGGGGCTTTAGACTTCTTTTGCTGAGGGGGTAAGTGAGGACAGACTATCAGAGAGTTAGTTCAGGGATAACTCCTCCCTCAAGGCCCAACATTGTAAATATTTGTTTCACTGAGTAAAGGCAGGTCTAGAGTCTACAGAGTAACAAATATCAGACCCCCCACCCCCCCCAGTACTGGGGGGATTGAACCCAGAGCCTCATGTGTTGAATCTTTTTATTTGTTATTTTGAGACAGCATATTGCTGAGTTGTCCAGGCTGCCTCAACTTGTGATCCTCTTGCTTCAGCCACCTGAGTAGCTGGGATTACAGGTGTGTGTGACCACACCTAGTTTTAGAAATATTTTAAAACTACCCAAATTGCTTATCACATCCCTTTCACCTGAAATTCTCAATCTTTGATATTCTCTGCATGAAATCTAACTCATTTTTATGTATCTCTCCTTTTGACAAATTCTCAGTGAAATCTGACTAACCCTCACCAAGTAGACTTTTACAAGCTTATAAAGGAAGTTGAAATTACACTGTGAATTCAGCTATCTTCGAAGAAAATGATTTGAATGATAAGGAGATTTATTGTTTACATTGTCATAATTTTATTCTGTGAAACTAAGTGAAAGCATAATGCAAAGAAAATTAGGTTTCTTGTGGAGTATTTTCTTGGTTCATGGTATATCTGTGTGTGTATGCACACGTGCGGGCTATAATTTCCTAATTGCTCAGAAATTTTACTTATTTTTGTACCTGGGATTGAATCTGGGACTTTGTGCATTAGCACTGTACCACTGATCTACATCTTGGCACTTTTTATTCTATTTGAGACATGGTCTTACCAAGTTGCCCAGGCTGGCTTTGAATTTATGATCTTGCTTTCTTAGCTTCTCAAGTAGCTGGGATTACAGATGTAAACCACAGTGACCTGCTAGGTTGTTTCCTCCCCCTTCTCCTCCTCCTGTTCTTCCTTCCTCTTCTTCCTCTTCCTCCCCCTCCCTTTCCCCTCTTCTCCCCCCCCCTTCCTTTCTTCTTTTTTTGATGATACTGGAGATTGAACCCAGGGCCTCTCACATATTAGGCAAGCCCTCTACCACCAAGCTATATCCCTAGCTTCCTTAATCTCTTAAGAATGTTATCTGTAGCTAGTGTGGTGACAGATGTCTGTAATTCCAGCTACTGGGGTGGGGGTGGGGCAGCTGAGGCAGGAGGATTCCAAGTTTGAGGTTAGCTTCAGCAACTTAGTGAGACACAGTCTCAAAATTAGTTCAGAGGTAGAACACCCCTGGGTTCAGTGTCCGGTACCACCACCTAAATAAATAAAAGTAAATAATAAAATAAAAAAAATAGTGGCTAGATTAGCCATAGGAGTTACTTGTAATGTTTTTCTTGTATACATTTAAAAATGTTGTCATAATTTTACTTTTGCAATAATAGTTACTACTAATATTTGTTTAATGGTAACTGCTAGTTGCTGATCTCAAATGCATGTGTTATCACAGTTTAGGATATAAATAAGTTGCTTCTATAACTGAGAGAAATCTGTCCTCCTGAGGTGGCACTGAAATTTGGGTCACAAAAAGATATGTAAATGAAGAGCTTTTTTTCCTTTTTTTTTTAAATTTTTTTTTTAGTTGTCAATGGACCTTTTTTATATACTTATTTTATTTTTATTTTTATTTTAATATGTTATGTATGACAGCAGAGTGTATTACAATTCATATTATACATATAGAGCACAATTTTTCATATCTCTGGTTGTATACAGAGTATATTCACACCATTGATACCTTCATGTATGTACTTATGGTAATGATATCCATCTCATTCCACCATCTTTTTTACCCCCTTGCCTTCCCTTCCTCTCCCACCCCTTTTCCCTATCTAGAGTTCGTCTAATCTTCCCATGATCCTGCTCTCAACCTCATTATGAATTAGCTTTCTTATATCAGAGAAAATATTCAGCATTTGGTTTTTTGGAATTGGCTAAATTCACTTATCATTATATTCTCCAACTCCATCCATATACCTGCAAATGCCACGATTTTATTCTCTTTTATTGCTGAATAATGTTCCATTGTGTATATGTACCACATTTTCTTTATCCATTCATCTGCTGAAGGGCATCTAGGTTGGTCCCACAGCTTAGCTATTGTTAATTGTGCTGCTATAAACATTGATGTGGCTGTTTCACTGTAGTATGCTGATTTTAAGTCCTTTGGGTATAGACCAAGGAGTGGGATAGCTGGGTCAAATCGTGGTTCCATTCCTAGCTTTCCAAGGAATCTCCATACTGCTTTTCATATTGGTTGCACCAGTTTGCAGTCCCACCAGCAATGTATGAGTGTGCCTTTTTCCCCACATCCTTGCCAACACTTATTGTTGTTTGTATTGTTAACAGCTGCCATCCTGACTGGAGTGAGATGAAATCTTAGAATAGTTTTGATTTGCGTTTCTCTAATTGCTAGAGATGATGATCATTTTTTCATATATTTGTTGATTGATTGTATATCTTCTTCTGAGAAGTTTCTATTCAGTTCCTTGGCCCATTTGTTGATAGGGTTGTTTGTTTTTTTTGGTGTTAAGTTTTTGAATTCTTCATACATTCKAGAGCTTAGAGTTCTGTCTGATGTGCAAGTGGTAAAAATTTGCTCCCAAAATGTAGGCTCTCTCTTCACCTCATTGATAGTTTCTTGTGCTGAGAAGCTTTTTAATTTGAATCCATCCCATTTATTGATTTTTGATTTTTAATTCTTCTGCTATAGGAGTCTTATTAAAGAAGTTAGGGCCTAATCCCACATGGTGGATATTAGGGTCTACTTTTTCTTCTGATAGGCACAGTGTCTCTGGTTTAATTCCTAGGTCCTTGATCCACTTTGAATAGAATTTTGTGTATGGTGATAGATAGGGGTTTAATTTCATTTTGTTGCATATGGATTTTTGAGAATTGAACCCAGTGCCTCACACATGTCAGGCAATTGATCTACCATGGAACCACAACCCCAGCCCTTTTGTTTGTTTTTGTTGCTGTTTGTCTACCAGGGATTGAATCCAGGGGCAATTAACTACTGACCTACATCCCCAGCTCATTTTTTCTTTATTCTTTTTTAAAAAATTTTTATTATTGATGGATATTTATTTATTTATTTACTTATATGTGGTACTGAGAATTGAATCCAGTGCCTCACACATGGTAGGCAAGCACTCTACTACTGAGTCACAACCCCAGTCCCATATTTTTTCTTTTGAGACAGTGTCTCATAAGTTTCTCATGGCCTTGCTAAATTGCTGAGGCTGGCTTTGAACTTATTACCCTCCTTCCTCACTCTTCTGAACCACTGGGATTATAGGCAAGATATTGTTTCTTTTTTTTTTTATATGTCTGGTAACATTTTTTATTTTTACTTTTTTAGTTGCAGAGGGACAGCATACATTTATTTTATTTGTTTATTTTTATGTGGTGCTGAGAATTGAATCCAGTRCCTTACACATGCTAGCAAGTACTCTGCCACTGAGATACAGCCCCAGCCCCAAGAGGTTGGTTTTTTAAGATGATTTAGGAGTGATGCAGTTTGTTCTTCATTTGTGTTTTTGTGGGAATAAGTGACAGAATGGGAAGAAGAGCTAATTCCAGAATTTATGGTGTATGTGTGTATACATAACTACATAAATATACACAAATAACAAATGATGTGATAATATTAGTGGTAAATACCTTGAACACAATTGAAAGGAGAGAAGACATTGTAATTCTCCCTTTTTTTTTTTTTTTTTCAAATTTGTTACTGGGGATTGAACCCCAGGGCACTTTACCACTGAGCCACATCCACCGTCATTTTGTTTTATATAAAATGGGGACCATATTAAATTCCTTACAGGGTTGTCCATGAGAATTGAAAACTGTCCTGCGTATTGTCTTATGTGTAGGAAGCACCAGTGTGTTAGTTGTTACTGTTACAAGGCCCCCTTGTCTTCATCTTACCTCTCATTTGTCAGTCTATGTCTGCTTTATCCTTACTAGTTAGGCTCAGAAGGCAAGAAAGGAAAAAAAAAAATGAAGGAATAGTAAGTGTAAGAACCATAATAAATGTGTGTTGAATTTATCAGGAAAAAGGTTATTTGGATCAAATAACAGGTCTGAGCTCTGAGCTGTTGGGATAAAMAATGCTGAAATTTTAAATGTAATTGCATGAAGGATGACAGAAACTCACAAAGGAGTACTGATGCCACCAGAGAGGTGAATGGTAAGGCAGAAAGCATCTGGGCTTTGGAGTGTCCTCCAGAAGCATGTGGCCTCTGTGCAGACCTCAACAGAATCACAGGAGCTGGAGACTGTAACACGTTGCCTTTAGAAACTGATAATCAGCTATAGACAAAATAAAGGAAGTCAGGAAGAACATGGAGGATTTTAAGGGACACTATGGCTCATTGCATCACTCCTAAAAGTAAAGTTCACTTTTGTAAAACTCAGGTAGCCAATAAAGGGAAGGAGTTAATTAAGACTGAGATCTGGGGGCTGAGTTGTGGCTCAGTGGTAGAGCGCTTGCCTTGCATGTGTGGGGCACTGGGTTTGATCCTCAGCACCACATAATTAAATAAAATAAATAAAATAAAGGTATTGTGTCCATCTACAACTAATTGTTTAAAAAATAAAAGTCTGAGATCTGTTTTAATCATATAAGCTTTGAAAATTTTTATCTGCCTAAAACAGAGTTATCTTTTTTGATTTAAAGGATTTTTAAAAGTGATTTGCACATTGGTGTCCACAGTGAATTTTAAATTAAACTCAGAAGTATTTTAATTATGATACTTGTTGTCTGTTTGTGGAGACACAGACTTGTGATGTATTTTACTATGTGCTGCTTGTGTTCCTGAGAAGCTTATTTAAACTATATAGCAAACACACCTGGCTTTACATGTCATACATTCCTAGTTTCTAAAAGAGGAAGAAAATATTTGTGCAAAGTATGACATAGACTAACTAAAAAGAATGCATTTGGTGAACATCCCAGTTGAAATGCATTTGTCTCTGCGTCCACAGATCCTGGATCCCCACCATTAAGCCTGCTCATGTGAAATAAGGGAGGAGTTCCTGCAGTTAGAGATCACTCACAGTGTAGAAGACCTTGCCAAGACCTTACCCCAGATTTTGGGGCAGAGGCAGAAGAGACCAGAGCAGAACAGATCTCACACTTGTGAATCCTCTTGCACAGGCAACAGAAAATGACCACAGTACAGGTGAGTTGATGGTTCATTCCTCATTATTTTTCCAGGGCGTTAGAAGAGGTATACAAGACTTCCATAAAAAGAAAAGTATGAGTAGTGAAGAAATCAGGAGGGAAATAGTCTCAGAATAGAAGCTTGGGATTGGGGTAAAATTGGACCGGTGCCTTCAGAAGGTCTTAAGGTTTTAATATTTATAAGCTATCGTGTCCCATTTGATTATTGCGTTTGAACTGCAAAATTGGCAGTTTTAAATACTTTTTTTTGGCAGTTTTAAATACATTTTTAAATACTTTTTATTTATTATAATTAGGTATATATGACAGCAGAATGCATTTTGATTAATTTTTGTATACAATCGTAGCACAACTTTTCATTTCTCTGGTTATACAAGATGTAGTGTCACACCACATGTGCAGACATACATGTACCTAGGATAATGATGTTTGTCTTGTTCCACCATCTTTCCTGCCCCCATGCCTCCTCCCCACCCTTCCCTCCCCTTTGCACGCACAATCATATTTCTTCCATTTTTCCCCATGCCTCACCTCATTGTGGATCAGCATCCACTTATCAGAGAGAACATTTGGCTTTTGTTTTTTTGGGGATTGGCTTACTTCACTTACCATGATATTCTCCAACTCTGACCATTTACCTGAAAATGCCATAATTTTATTATCTTTTAATGCTGAGTAATATTTAATTGTGTATATATATATCACATTTTCTTTATCCATTCATCTGCTGAAGGGCATCTAGGTTGGTCCCACAGCTTAGCTATTGTTAATTGTGCTGCTATAAACATTGATGTGGCTGTTTTACTATAGTATGCTGATTTTAAGTCCTTTGGGTATAGACCAAGGAGTGGGATAGCTGAGTCAAATCGTGGTTCCATTCCCAGCTTTCCAAGGAATCTCCATACTGCTTTTCATATTGGTTGCACCAGTTTGCAGTCCCACCAGCAATGTATGAGTGTGCCTTTTTCCCCACATCCTTGCCAACACTTATTGTTGTTTGTATTGTTAACAGCTGCCATCCTGAYTGGAGTGAGATGAAATCTTAGAATAGTTTTGATTTGCGTTTCTCTAATTGCTAGAGATGATGATCATTTTTTCATATATTTGTTGATTGATTGTATATCTTCTTCTGAGAAGTTTCTATTCAGTTCCTTGGCCCATTTGTTGATAGGGTTGTTTGTTTTTTTTGGTGTTAAGTTTTTGAATTCTTCATACATTCTAGAGCTTAGAGTTCTGTCTGATGTGCAAGTGGTAAAAATTTGCTCCCAAAATGTAGGCTCTCTCTTCACCTCATTGATAGTTTCTTGTGCTGAGAAGAAGCTTTTTAGTTTGAATTCATCCCATTTATTAATTCTTGATTTTATTTCTTGCGTTTTAGGAATCTTATTAAGGACGTCTAAGCCTAATTCGACATGATGAATATTTGGGCCTACTTTTTCCTCTATTAGTCACAGGGTCTCTGGTCTAATTCTTAGGTCCTTGATCCACTTTGAATTGAGTTTTGTGTATGGTGAGAAATAGGCATTTAGTTTCATTTTTGCTGCATATAGATTTCTAGTTTTCCCACTACCATTTGTTGAAGAGGCTATCTTTTCTCCAATGTATGTTTTTGGCTCCTTTTTGTAGTATGAGATAACTGTATTTATGTGGGTTTATCTCTGTGTCTTGTATTCTGTACCATTGATATACAAGTCTATTTTGCTGCCAATACCATGCTTTTTGTTACTATAGCTCTGTAGTATAGTTTAAGGTCTGGTATTGTGATGCCTCCTGCTTCACTCTTGCCAAGAAGTACATTGGTTATTCTGAGTCTCTTATTTTTCTAAATGAATTTCATGATTGCCTTATTTATTTCTATAAGGAATGACATTGGGATTTTAATTAGGATTGCATTGAATCTGTATAGCGCTTTGAATATTATGGCCATTTTTTTTGAATATATATATATATAATTTTTATTTTTTTGTACTGGGGATTGAACTCAAGGGCAGTCAACCACTGAGCTATATTCCCAGCCCAATTTTGTATTTTATTAGAGACAGGGTCTCACTGGGTTGCTTAGCGCCTTACTGTTGCTGATGCTGGCTTTGAATATGCAATCCTTCTCTCTCAACCTCCCAAGCCACTGGGATTACAGGTGTGCGCCACCACTCCTGGCTCTGTTTTGACAATATGAATTTTGCCTATCCAAGGGCATAAGAGATCTTTTCATCTTCTAAGGTCTTCTTCAATTTCTTTCTTTAGTGTTCTGTAGTTTTGATTGTAGAAGTCTTTCACCTCTTTTCTTCAGTTGATTTCCAAGTATTTTATTTTATTTTATGTTTGAGGCTATTGTCAATGGGGTAGTTTTCCTAATTTCTCTTTCAGAGGATTAATCACTAATGTATAGAAATGCGTTTGATTTATGGGTATTGATTTTATTTCCTGCTACTTTGCTGAATTCATTTATTAATTCTAGAAGTTTCTGGTGGAGTTTTTTGGGTCCTCTAAGTATAGAATCATCTCTCCAGCAAATGATGATAGTTTGAGTTCTTCTTTTTCTATTTGTATCCCTTTAATTTCTTTCGTCTGTCTAATTGCTCTGGCTAGAGTTTCAAGAGCTTTGTTGAATAGAAGTCATAAAAGAGGGCATCCTGCCTTCTTGGCTTTCAAATTTTTGACAGTTATAATGATATGTGAATGTTGATATAAGTTGCCAGTATTCAAAGGAAAAAGCAAACTGATCATAGAAAGTATTTCTTGATCATTAGGTTTCTGTTTTTTTTTTCTTTTTCCTTGATGAAGAGTTTAAATAAATAATATCATGGGTAATGTTCTCAATAGAAACAGTGTAGTAAATGCATGTGGGTGCTTTGCTTTATTCTGAGGGACTGTGAATTAAACCCAGGCCTTTCATGTTAGGCACATACTCTATTGCAGAGCTACATCCCCAGCCTAAAATCCACAGACGAGGGGTATTTTTCATAGTATTCCTCAGAGTGTGATTGGAGGTCAGAATGCCAAAGTGGGACTTAGTGAGTGATGACTGTAAGTCCTGGAGATCTGCCCAGGACCTGTGCATGCTCGGAAGCACTCTGCCATAGCTACATCCCTAGCCAACCATAATTATTAGTTCATTTGCCCTTTTATATTATAAAGCCCAATTCATATGAAATGTATATAAATGTAAAACTATTTAATGAATTATTATCAAGTGGTTATGCATGAAATCACCTCTCAGGTCCAGGAATAAAATATTCCTACCCCAATGAGGATTGGCCTGTACCCTCTCCCAGTTAGCCCGTGATGCTGCTTTCTTACATCTTCATTGGGTTTGAGAGCAAGGGTCTGCTGGCCTTGTAAAGTGATTGTGAAGTTTGCTGTCTTTCTATGTTCTCTGAAAAAATTTGAGACCATTTTATTTATCCTTTAAACGTTTGGAAGAATGGAAGAATTCACCATGGAAGCCACCTAGATCTTAAGTTTACTTTGAAGGAGTGTTCTAAATTGTGGGGTCAATTCTTTAACAATTATAGGATTAATTCAGATTTTGTTTCTTTATGTGTCATTTTGGGTATGTTGTTTCTTGGGAAGTACAGCTACTTCATCTAGGTTGTCTAATAAGTTTACATACATTTATTCATGATTCAGGGTTTTTTTTGGTGATTTTTTTTTTTTTTTAGTTGTAGATGGACACATACCTTTGTTTATTTATTTTTTATGTGGTGTGGAGGATYGAACCCAGTGCCTCACACATGCTAGGTGAGCGCTCCATTACTGAGCCACAACCCCAGTCCCATAATATCTTTTTAACAGTTTTGCTGATATATGATCTCAAAAACATCTCCTCACTTTGATGTACAGTTGAGTGAGTTTTAAGTAAATTTGTATTGTATAACCATTGTTACAGTTCAGTTCTAGAAGATTTCCATCACCGAAGAAAATTCTGAGTGACATTTGTGGCAGTTTCCACTCCTCCTCACAGCCTGAAGCAGCTGCTAATTTGCTTACTCTGTCGATTTGCCTTTTTAGGGCATTTCATGTCAGTGGATTTATGTAATATGTAGTCTTTGTGTCTGGTGTCTTAATGAGCTTAATGCTTTTGTGGTTCATCCATGTAAGCATGTTAGAAATTCATCTTTTAGTTGACAGATTGTGGTTCCTTATATTGCTTTATCCATTCAGTAGTTGTTGGGTATTTGTGTTGCTTTCTCCTCTTGTTGTGAGCGTGCTGAAATGAACAGCCACAGGCAGGCTTCAGTGTCCATATGTGCTCTTGTTTCTCTTTGTCCATACCCAAGAGTGGCACTGTGAATTGTGCAGCAGAATCRTATTTACCTTGTAGGAAGCAGCTGTGGTTCCTTGTGTATGGGTCAGCTTACACTCCTGCTAGAGCATGGTTGCAGTTTCTCCCSATCCTGTCCTTCATGGGATGTCTTGATTATCACCATTTAGGGAATGTGAAGTGGTGTCTTACTAGGGTTTTGCTTTGTATTTCCTTCATGGCTAATGATCCTTTGTGGGTTTAGTAGCTATCCCTGTACCTTTTTTTTAAAAATATGTTTCTTTTTTATTTATTTATTTTTATGTGGTGCTGCTGAGGATCACACCCAGGGCCTCACCCGTGTGAGGCAAGYGCTGTATGGCTGAGTCACAACCCCAGCCTTCCTATATCTTTTTGATGAATTATATTCAGATATTCTGCCTCTATTTTAATTGGGTTGTCTTTTTATTATTCATTATAAGAGTTGTCTGGTCAAGATTTTTAACAGAAATCTGTACCCTGACCCCACGGCAGGCTGTGTTTTGTCATATCTGTTTTTTTGTGGGGGAAGAGGGTACTGGCAGTTGAACTCAGGCACTTTACCATTGACCAGTACCCCTAGCCCTTTAAAAAAATATTTTTTAAGAATCTTCAGAAGTTGTTGCAGTAATTCACTCGCAGGTCAGCATGGGAAAGAAAGAAGAAGCAGAGCAAGCAAAGCAGCAGCAGAAAAAAAAGTCCTTTATTGTATACAGGCAATCTTTTTATAGTATTGTGAACAAAGAAGGCAGCCTTCCAACAGCAATAAATCAGGTCTTTCAGCTAATTAAACATAGCATACAGAAGTTTTACTTTCTAATCAGAAGTGACCCGCTTCCCATGGCTAATCTGTTTTCGTCCTGGAGCATGCCGAGCTCTGCTCTTGTTAAGAACAGATAATAAAATTTTTCTTAGCGCCCTCCTAGCCCACTTGGCAGAACATCCTGTTTGCAGGCAAGTCCTCCCAAAGACAGTAGACACCTCGTTTTCAAGCATGTCCGCTGTTACCTTACCTAAACCTTGAAGGAGCCTTTTGTTTTTGAGTAGGCCCTCCCAAGGACAGCAGACACCTTGTTTTCAAGCATGTCCGCTGTAACCTATCTATACCTTGACAGAATATCCCGTTTGCAGGTAGACTCCACCAAGGACAGTAATAGTAACGCAGTCACATCTGATTCTCTATAAGAAGTGTCTCACTAAATTGCTTGAACTTGTGTTTTCTGACATTTAAATGTTTTAAATTTCATTTTATGCTCAAGTGGGATTGTAGAGTGCCATCATTTAGTGCCCTTTCCTTTCTTTCTTATAAGATGCTTTACATACTGCATCTGTGTATATTGACACCTCTGTCAGACAATGTGAAGTTTTGCCATCAGTCATCATGTGAACACCGATAAACTTGAGAGAATAGTGGCTTGTGTTTGCCCAGATCTCTACCATGGTTGTTGTTTTTCTAAGTCACTCTAGTACCATTTCCCTTCTCTTTGAGAACCTCCCACTGGTAATTCTTGTAGAACAGGTTTGTTGGGTTTAAATTATCTTAGCTTTCTTTCATAAGAAAAGTTGTTTCATCATTATTCTTGATGAATATATATATATTTTGTGGTGCTGGGGATTGAACTCAGGGCCTTGTGCATGCAAGGCAAGCTGTCTACCAACTGAGCTGTATCCCCAGCACCCTGATGAATATTCAAGCTAGAAACAGAATTCTGTGCTTATAGGTCTCTCCTTTTTGCATTTGGAAACATTTCACTCTCTGCTGAGTTGTTCTGACCCTAGCAACTCAGGAGGCTRAGGCAGGAGGATCAGAAGTTCAAAGCCAGCTTCAGCAACTTAGCAAGACTTTGTCTCAAAATAAAAAGAGTTGGGGATATGGCTTAGTGGTTAACTGTCCTTGTATTCAAGCCCCTGTACTCCTACCCCATCACCACTCCTTGAAACAAGAAATATTCCACTCCCTTCTGGCCTCAGCTTTCTAATAGAAACTTTCAGCTACTTGAATTGCTGTTCCCTATGAATGATGCCATATTTTTATTTCATGAATTTGTTTGTATTTGTCTATTTTGGGGTCTACTGAGCTGCTTCAGTCTAGGCTTATACCTTTTGCTGGTTTTAGGGAGCATTTGGCTGTCATCTCTGGAAATTCTTATCTGTGGTGCTGTTTTCTGTTCTGGGATATTGTGCCACTCATCTTGCTCTGTAAATTTAGGGGTCGACTCTACTTGGGATGGGCCCTCTACACTGAGCTGCATCCACAATCTCTCTCTCTCTCTCTCTCTCTCTCTTTTTTTTTTTTTGAGACAGGGTCTAGCTGAGTTGTCCAGGCTGGCCTTGAACTTTTGATTTTCCTGTCTTAGCCCTCAGTATCTGGGATCACACGTGTGTACCAAAACACCTGGCAAGCTCTGTCAGGTGTTTTTGTTTTTTTTTTTAATTGTTTTTAGATATTGATGGAGCTTTTTTTTTAAATTCATTTTTATTTATATGTGGTGCTGAGAGTCGAACCAAGTGCCTCACACATGCTAGGCAAGTACTCTACCACTGAGCCACAACCCAGCTCCTCTGTCAGTTTTAATTCTTTCTCCATCTGTTATTCAGAATGGATGGTTTTGTTGATTAGTCTTCAGATTCACTGACACTCTCAAGGTGAACAGTGTGCATTTGGTGACACACTTCTTGGGTTTAAAATTTTTTTTTTTTTAATGATGGCATTCTTCATTTTTAAGATTTGTGTTTTTCTGTGATCTCAGGAGACTAGGACAAGAATTCATCTTGTTACAGTCTCAGTCATCTTTTGAAAACCTGCCTTTGGACGTGTTATCTTCCTTTCTGTAAAGTCTTTCATGGCTAACTGTCAGCAGTAAGATGTGTGTTCTTTTTTATTTTATTTTATTTTTTTGTAATTGCTTGATTTTATTTTACACCAGGTGGTGGGCACAAAGCAATCTTCCTTAATAAAGTTGAAAATTAGCTTTATTTAGAACATTTCTAATCACATTAAAAAGAAAGTATTCATCTTACCAATTGTTCTGCAATCCAAATAAATATACAATAGCTTGGAAATCAACATTTAGAAAACACAAGCCAATATAAAAAGACAGATTAAAACAACCAGAACCATGCAGATGGCACAGATTTAACATTTTCTTACTGCATCATCMGTGTCAGGAATCTGTCCCTTCAGCTGGCTCCATTGCTGGGATTTAAAGAAATGCTTTTATTTCCTGGTTTCATTTCACCTTCTGGATCCATCCAATATTTTCTAATATCAATTAGAACTTTCCCTTTAAAATCTTGAACACTGAGCTGGGCATGGTGGTGCTCACCTGTATCCCAGCAGTTCTGGGAGGTCAAGGCTGGAGGATCGTGAATTCAAATCCAGCCTCAGTAGCTTAGCAAGACTCTGTCTCAAAATAAAATAATAAAGAAGCAAGGGATGTAGCTTSGTGGTAGAGCAATTGCCTGGAGTGCACAAACTCTGACTGTAATCTTAGGTATCACTCCTGTCCACCTGTCCCCTCCAGAAAAAGGAAAAAAAAACAGAGGGACATAGTAGGTGTCTGTTTGACGTGCAGTTGTGAGAGCAGTGTGTCAAGCCGGGCACACCTCTCCAGGATCAGGCAGTGATGAACACCTCCGGCTCACTGGGATTGTGCTCTTCCAGGAATCATTCTCCTTTGAAGATCTATGTGTGGCCTTTAGCCAAAAGGAATGGCTGTTACTGGGTCCCCATCAGAAGGCCTTGTACAAGGATGTCATGCTGGAGAACTACCACATCCTTGTGTCACTGGGTAAGAAAAGATTCCTCAGGGACCTCAGAGTATGTCCAATGCATTGCTTTTCTCTTTTTTAATAAAGTTGCTTAATGCTTCTGAATGTTTTAATGATTTTGGACCAGAATTTAGGAAGTAAAAGTCTTGGATTATGTTGGCAAGAAAGTATCTGGATCCCACCTTCCCAATAATGAAACCTTAAGTTTGTTGTCAGAAACCTAACTGATTAGTAGTGGTGACAGTGGGTGGGTGTCTGCCGTGTGCTGTGCTACATACTGCACACCCCAGGTGCCTCGCAGGAGGGAGTCCACCAGTTTAGGCATTGGAGCAGTCCTGCATGGTAGGTATCCTTTTTTCCTGAGAAGAAAATTGAGGCAAAGAGAAGTAAAGTAACTGTCCCAGTGACTGAGAGCAAGAAGGCCAAAAGAGCCTGGAGTTGAACCCTGTGGTGTGGCTCCAGAGACAGTGCCGAGTGGAGCAGTGAAAGATCCTTAGACCTGTTCACCACAGGGGCAGCTGTTGTCATGTCTCCCGAGAATTGTCTGTTGAGATGAAGACCCTCTGTTAAGCCCTGCTGCTTCCTCAGAGGACCTGAAGCCCAGGAGCCAGAACCATGCCCTTGGTGATTTCCCCCCAACAGGCTATGAAGTTATGAAGCCAGACGTCATCTTTAAGTTGGAGCAAGGCGAAGAGCCATGGGTGGGAGATGGAGACACTCCACGTTCAGACTCTGCAGGTGAGCGTGAGAGAACCTGGAGGTGGGCGGAAGTAGAAGTCCAGCCTGAGCGAGTAGTATTGGTCTGGAACCTTTGAAATCTGCTCTTTTCAAAATCCCTATACCTGTGTGGTGATTTGGAGCAGTTGACGACAGCTACTCAGATAAATCCCAGTCAGATGTGGCTTCTTGGTTTGCAGTTTAGGATTAAACGTGTCTTCTTCAGAGTCCTGATGTTATTCCCTGCCTTGGAATCCAGGGCTCATACTTATTGTGTGATCTGCTCTCCTTTGGTGTGTGTGATCTGTCCTTCTTTCCCCTGTGGTCAAAGTTAACCTGCTTGTGCATTCCAGCATTTTAATTTTCCCTTCAATATTGGAGCATCTTGTGAAGCCCTCTGTTCAGAATCACTTACTAAAAAATGGAGCCACCACCCGTCCTAGACATTGCCTCTTCAAATAGGTCCTGTTTGTGTTTTCTCTGGATTAGACCATGGAGTGTAAGGAGAATCTCTTCCTCCCATTCTTCCTTATTGTTGTTTTTACTTTTATTTATCTTTATGTATTTACAGTACTGAGAACTGGAACTAGGGGTGCTGTACCACTGAGCTGTGTTGCTAGCCCTTTTAAATTTTCATTTTTATACAGGTCTTGCTACTTTGCCCAGGCTGGCCTTGAACTTTCAATTTTCCTGCTTTAGCTATCATTTTTAAATGTTCTGCTCTTTGGGAGATAAATATCTTTTGAAAGTCTTCCCTCCTCAACTCCCACTTAAATTTTTTTTTTGGTTGGGGGGTACCAGGGATTGCACTTAGGGGCACTCAACCACTGAGCCACATCCCCAGCCCTATTTTATTAGAGACAGGGTCTCACTGAGTTGCTTAGCACCTTGCCAAATTGCTGAGGCTGGCTTTGGACTTGCGATCCTCCTGCCTCCCCCTTCCAAGCCTCTGGGATTACAGGTGTGCGCCACCGCACCCGGCCCTCAACTTCCACCTAAATGTCTCATAGCTGAAGTTCTCAAAATGTTAGATGGATTGGATTCTGAATATTCATAAGTTATCTTCAATAATACCATTGTGCTTGACTTTGAAAAAGCAAACCACACACACTGAACAGTTAAACCTTATTCGTTGTCTTTTGTTTGACATTGGCTTAGGTTCTCCCAAAAGAAGATCCTGAGATGTGTATCTGATTGTAAGAATTTACTGGAGAAGGGGTCTCCTCCAGTGCACCAGGAGACTGGGGATATGAGAAGGGAGGGGCAGTGCCAATAAAAGGTGGGCAGCGGAGCTTGGTTCCTCTGAGAGCCCCCAGACACTGTTGCTGTACCTTCACCTTTGTCCCTTGGGGAACTGGGAAGCCCAGCCTTTCCCCTTTACCTCCTGCCTCTGGTTCAGGACTGCTGTGACAGAATGTCCATGTGTCTACATGTGGACCATGCTTGCACCTACCCAAGAAAGGTTCCAGGTAGTGGAGAGTGCAAGTGTGTGGATGGGCACCAGGTCAGGTATTCTCCAGATAATGTGCTTCACACCCTAGCTTTTACCTCTGTATTAAAATAATGCTTGTGGGCATAGACTAAATGGACACTGTGCATTTCATAACTGAAGCAGAGAAACAAAATTACAGGCCTTTGCATCTACACATGCAAAACAAACAACAACAACAACAACAAAAACAAAACAGGAACCAACCAAATAAAAGAATATTACAACACTAGGACCTGTTCTGGGATGGGACCTCAGAAAAGGGTGAGAACTGTGTAGGCTGGAGTCCCAGAACATTTCACACAAGGCAGCATAGACAGCTCCTGCAGCAAGGACTAAGAATCTGTGGATAGCTAGCAAAGCACAACAGGAAGTTCAGACACAGAGAATAAATGTTGCAAGTCCACAAATACTGAGAAATGTTGAAATGGGGCTGCCACATATTTGCAGGGAAAGAAGAAAATAGACAAATGAGTAATATGCTGTCACACTGGAGAGCCCTTGGAAGAAAACGTTACACCTTTGGCCAAGTTCAGAGAACACCTGCGCTCTCCTCTATCTGGAACCTTTCTTGCACCTTTCTTAGGCAAGCACTCTACCAGTGAGCCCCAGCCCCAGACCTGGAAAGATTGATTTTGTCTCAGGGCCTCAGAATTTCAGTCCATGGTTGGATGGCTCCATTGCTCTGAGTCTGATGTGAGGTAGAACATCATGGTGGAAGGTTGTGTCAGAGGAAAGCAGCTCTGCTTATGGCAGTTGGGAAGCAGAGAGATGAGGGTGGGATTGGGGAGAAGGTGAACCATTTCAGGGCATGCCCCCAGAGATCTGCTTCCTCCAACCAGTCCCCACTTTCCAATCATCCACACAGCTGCCAATGGATTAATCCACTGGTGAGGTCAGAACCATCATGATCCCTTACAGCCTCAAAGCCCCACCTCTGAAACTTGCTGCATTGGAGACCATGCTTTCATCACAAGACTTTGGGGGACATTCCAGATGCAAACTGTGACACTTGGTTAAGAAGATGTTGGGCTGGGGTTGTGGCTCAGTGGTAGAGCACTCACCTAGCCTGTGTGAGGCACTGGGTTCAATTCTCAGCACCACATAAAAATAAATAAATAAATAAATGAAATAAAGTTATTTTGTCCATCTACAACTAAAAAAAAAAGTGACATCTGTAGCTGGCTTTTATTTTTTTAATTTTTAAAAAATATTTTTTAGTTGTCCAATAAAGGTTTATTTCACTTATCTATTTTTATGTGGTACAGGGGATTGAACCCAGGATCTCGCACAAGTGAGGCAAGCACTCTACTGCTGAGCCATAACCCCAACCCCTTTTTTAAAAACTTTTTGTTCAGCATTTAAACATTGAATGTTCATATTTCATTGCAAGGCATTACATAATTAATTGTCAAAATTATTTATGCAAACAGGGATTGCATATAGGTGTCCACAAGACCACCCCATGTTCAGAGTCATAAGAGAGGCTCCAGGGCCTAAAGCTACTTGGCCTGTAGCTGCCCTATGTTTGGGGTTTATTTCTGTACCTTAATGAGACTGGATCATAGGAAGAGGCCCAGGCAGAGTCTAAAGGAACCAGTGTACTAGCTTCCCATGACCTCCTTGGGACCACATGGTGCACTCTCCTGCAGAAACATGTAGTAGCAACTGGCGTCCAGTTTGCCTGCCTAGGGAAGCCCATTAGGGCCTCACTGCCCATAGTCTTCTTGGAGTTGGCAGGTATGGCTCCCAGCAGTCTTACCTGCAGGTGTGCAGTCCAGGGGGAGCTGGCAGGTATGGCTCTGTCCCCCTGTGCTGACAGGCCCCAGCAGTCTTAACTGCAGGTGTGCAGTCCAGNCCCCTGTGCTGACAGGCCCCAGCAGTCTTAACTGCAGGTGTGCAGTCCAGGGGGAGCTGGCAGGTATGGCTCTGTCCCCCTGTGCTGACAGGCCCTAGCAGTCTTATCTGCAGGTGTGCAGTCCCAGGGGAGCTGGCAGGAATGGCTCTATCTCCCTGTGCTGACAGGCCCTAGCAGTCTTTATCTGCAGGTGTGCAGTCCAGGGGGAGCTGGCAGGTATGGCTCTGTCCCCCTGTGCTGACAGGCCCTAGCAGTCTTATCTGTAGGTGTGCAGTCTAGGGGGAGCTGGCAAGTATGGCTCTATCTCCCTGTGCTGATAGGCCCTAGCAGTCTTATCTGCAGGTGTGCAGTCCAGGGGGAGCTGGCAGGTATAGCTCTGTCTCCTTCTGCTGACAGGCCAGAGCAGTCTTATCTGCAGGTGTGCAGTCCAGCAATGTGAGTTTTTGCCAGGAACAGAATGCTGGGATCACTCTTCAAGCCTTGGACCCAGGCAGTATCTAAGAGACAACTGTGCAGGCAGACTTTCTCTGGAGAACACTTACTTTTCTGCATTGAGTACCTGCTGATCTCTTCTGCTTTTCAGGCACTGAACCAGGTGCCCTGGCTCTGAAGGGGCAATAAGGATGTATTTCCTTCCCATGATCTCTGCTGCTTCTCAAGCACCAAGCCAGGTGCCTTGGGCACAGTAGGGGCAGTGGAAATGTTTCCTCCCCATATAATGCTCATTTTGCAGTGAGAAGGTGAAAGAACAGGAGAGCAAATAACCCAAGTAAAATCCAGACCCTGGCATGGCAGTTGTGGAAATTGATTTACATGTCACAATAGAGAATGTATTAGTGTCTTTGGGCTACCACAACAAAATACCACAGAAGCAATGGCCTAAACAACCAGAAGTTTATTTCTTAGGTCAGATGTTATGGTGCATGCCTATAATCCTAGTAATGTGAGAAGCTGAAGCAGGGAGATCAAGGCCAGCCTCAGCAACTTAGAGAGACCCTTTCTCAAAATAAAAAATGAAGGGCTAGAGATGTCATTCAGTGGTTAATTGCCCCTGGGTTCAATCCCCCATACCCCCCTGCGCAAAAAAAAAAAAAAAAAAAAAAGTGAAGGAAGAATTTTATTTCTCACTTGGAGGAAATCCAAGTCAAGGTGAGGGCTGTCTTCCTGACTTGCAGACAGCTGCTTTCCTGCTGTGTGTGACCTTTCTTCAGTGCATGCTGGTGGGGGGGACAGTGTTCTCTGGTGTCTCTTATAGACACTGGTCCTGTCACTTCGGAGTTCCATTCTCACAGCCTCTTTGACCTTCATCTTTTCCAAATGCAGACACAGTGGGGGCTTCAGCATATGATTTTTGAGGTAATACAAGTATGCAGTCCAGCACAGAATTATAAATGTGGAGAAGCTGGGTCTGCACATGAGGACCATGAGATGAGCAAGCTGTGTGGAGAACCAGGAGAAAGTGTCCCCAAAGGAATGACAAATAGGAATGTTCTAAGTCAGGAAGGGGCCTAGTGACTTTAAGAAACAGAATGGAAGCCTGTGTGGCTGGAGGTCAGTGTGTTGGGAGCTCTAAAGTGACTGGGAGAGGGCAGGGGCCAGTCCTGCCTCCACTTGGAGGCAGTGAATCTTTAAAGAGTTTTTTCTTCACTGATTGTTTTCTTTCTCCTTACAGTGCTGGGTTTGGAACTCAGGGCCTCAAGCATACTAGGCAAGAGCTCTGCCTCTGAGTCACCCTCCCCACCCCCCGCCTACTCACAGTCATTGAAAAGGAGCTAGGAGTGCTGGGGATGTGGCTTAGTGGTAGGGTGCTTGCCTCACATGCACAAGGCCCTGGGTTCAATCCCCAGTACCACACACACACACACACACACACACACAAAAGGAGGTAGGAGTGCTGGGAATGTGGCTTAGTGGTAGGGTGCTTGCCTGGTATATGCAAGGTTCTGAGTTAGTTCCCCAGGAACCGCCCCCCCMCACACACACAAGAATTAGGATTGATTTATAATTTTAAATAAAAGTTTAATTATTTGATTTATATTTTTGAAAGTTCAGTCTGACCACAGATTGGAAGATGTAATTAGATAAAAGTGTGATTAGAAGGTGGTAAAACCTGCTGGTGGTGCACACCTGTAATCTCAGTGACTCGAGGCTGAGGCRGGAGATCAGAATTTTGAGGCCAGCCCCCGCAAGTCAGCAAGGCTCTTTCTCAAAATGAAGAAATAAAAAAAGGTCTGCGGATATGGCTCCATGGTAAAATGCCTCTGGATTCAATCCCTAGTACCAAAAAATTTAAAGTTTTCACATTACTGATTGTATTTTACACCCAAATTGACCTCACACAAAAAAGCTTTTATTAAAAAACAGGCCTTTTGAAGAACACTTGCAGCAATTAGTGTTAAGTGGTTACACCATGAGGATGATGGAAATAGAGCTATATAAAATAACTATCCAATTCAGAACATGCTGAGAATGGTAACTCAGGTCTTGGGATGATGTGAGTGAGCTGCTTTGTGGATTTCAAAGCTGTGTGCCTGAGGATGTGTATGAGAGAGGATGTGGTTGAAGTGTGGTGCAAGCGAGGGTCTGTTGGTAGTAATGTGTGAGATGTGTGTGGCAAGTTTAAATCCAACTTCCAGAACATCTGAGAATGGGGAATATATACAAAATATTTTTCATCCTCAAGCTTGAAATGGCTGTAGGCAGTTACTTCAATTCATTCATGTGCTTCATATTACTTACCACAGTTTTAGCTCAGTTGTGTTTTTTTAAAAATACCTTTGTTTTACTTATTTATTGTATGTGGTGCTGAGGATTGAACCCAGTGCCTCATGTGTGCAAGGCAAGCGCTCTACCACTGAGCCATAACTCCAGCCCCAGCTCAGTTGTGTTTTGTATAATCTGTTCTTTGTCACCGGCTAACTGTTCTACTGTCTTGGCAGTCCCATAGTATGCTTTCAGTGGGCACCGAGTGAGGTGGTTCCTGAGAACACTGGATCAGTGCTTCTTCCAGCCTCCTGTCTTTGTTTCTGATTGCTCTTCCTGCATGTTTTTTTTGGTGGTGGTGGGAAACTAGAGATTAAACCGAGGGGTGCTTAACCACTGAGCCACACCTATAGCCCCTTTTATTTTTATTTTGAGTTGGGGTCTCATTAAGCTGTTTAGGGCCTTGCTAAATTGCTAAGGTTGGCCCCAAATTTGTTTTTTTCCTGCCTCCCCGAGTTATTGGGATTGCAGGCGTGCACCACCACTCCTGGATCTTCATGCATTCACATTTTTCTTTGATAAACTCATGTCTGGCAAGAGCCAAAGGTGACTGTAGGTTTGTTCTATTTTCACTGCTTCCTATATTTTTCAGTACCTAGGGAATAAGCATTCTACTTTGAGAGTTATACTCAGAGGCTAAACCTTAAAAACACAGTTAGTTGGGCTGGAGATATAGCTCAGTTGGTAGAGTGCTTGCCTGGCATGCACAATGCATCCCCAGCACCAAAAAAAAAAAAAAAAAAGGCAGTTAGTGCCTCAGCATAGCATTTCTGGTGTTTTATTTAGTCAAGCGTAACCAAATGGGTGTTTTGTTTCCTTTGTAGAAGTCTGTCAAGTAGATGGTCACATGAAGTGGCACCAGGATAACCAAGACAAGCTTAAAAATGTGAAAAGAGGTCATGAATGGGATGCATTTGGAAAAAATTTCAATCCAAGTATGAACGTTGTTCCTTTAAGTAAATCAAATGATGAAGGTGACTTAGATGGATTGATTTTGAGACATCATTTAGATTTGCTTATTCCAAGAACAGATTATGGAAGAATGGAATCAGATGACTTGAATGTATTTAATAAATTGTTTCTCAATACTGAACCTGAGGAAAGTGATTCTTGGTTGAAATACTATGAATGTGATAAATGTGGTAACAATAGCTATAAAAAGTCACAGATTGTCATTTTCCACAGAACTCGGTTAGGAGAGAAACTCTATGAATGCAGTGAATGTAGGAGACGCTTTAGTAAAAAATCCAGTCTCATTAAACATCAGAGCAGACACATAAGGGAGATAGCCTATGGCTGTGGTAAATGTGGCAAAACCTTTCCACAGAAGGCACAGTTTGTTACACATCACAGAACTCATACCGGAGAAAAACCCTATGATTGTAGCCAGTGTGGGAAAGCTTTCTCCCAAAAGTCACAGCTTACGTCCCATCAGAGGACACATACAGGAGAGAAGCCATATGAGTGTGGCAAATGCGGGAAAGCTTTCTCCCGGAAGTCACATCTCATATCTCATTGGAGGACACACACAGGAGAGAAGCCCTATGGATGCAGCGAATGTGGGAGGGCTTTCAGTGAGAAGTCAAATCTTATCAATCACCAGAGGATTCATACAGGAGAGAAGCCCTTTGGATGCCGGGAGTGTGGGAGAGCCTTCAGCAGGAAGTCGCAGCTGGTCACCCATCACAGGACTCACACAGGAACAAAACCCTATGGGTGTGCTGATTGTAGGAAAGCATTTTTTGAGAAATCAGAACTCATCAGACATCAGACTGTTCACACTGGAGAGAAACCCTATGAGTGCAGTGAATGTAGGAAAGCCTTTAGAGAGAGGTCAAGCCTCATTAATCATCAGAGAACCCATACAGGAGAGAAGCCACATGGATGCATTCAGTGTGGGAAGGCCTTCTCCCAGAAGTCACACCTCATATCACACCAGATGACACACACAGGAGAGAAACCTTTTGCCTGCAGTAAATGTGGGAAAGCCTTCAGCAGGAAATCCCAGCTTGTTAGACACCAGAGGACTCATACTGGAGAAAAACCCTATGAGTGCAGTGAATGTGGAAAAGCCTTCAGTGAAAAGTTAAGCCTCACTAATCATCAGAGAATTCATACGGGAGAAAAGCCGTATGTGTGCAGTGACTGTGGGAAAGCCTTCTGTCAGAAGTCCCATCTCATTTCACATCAGAGGACACACACAGGAGAGAAACCCTATGAGTGCACAGAATGTGGTAAAGCCTTTGGTGAGAAGTCGAGTCTTGCAACTCATCAGAGAACTCACACAGGAGAGAAGCCATATGAATGYAGGGACTGTGAAAAGGCCTTCTCCCAGAAGTCACAGCTAAATACTCATCAGAGAATCCACACAGGAGAGAAACCCTACAAGTGCAGTCTTTGTACAAGAGCATTCTTTGAGAAATCAGAATTAATTAGACATCAGAGAACTCATACAGGAGAAAAACCTTATGAGTGCAGTGAATGCAGAAAAGCCTTCAGGGAGAAGTCAAGTCTCATTAATCACCAGAGAATCCATACAGGAGAGAAACCCTTTGAATGCAGGGAATGTGGCAAAGCCTTCTCTCGGAAGTCACACCTTATCCCACATCAGAGGACACACACAGGGGAGAAGCCCTATGGATGTGGTGAATGTAGGAAAGCTTTCTCTCAGAAGTCACAGCTTGTTAATCATCAGCGAATCCACACGGGAGAGAAGCCTTACCAATGCAATGAGTGTGGGAAAGCCTTCCCACAGAAGTCCCAGCTCATTAATCATCAGAGAACTCACACAGTAAGGATGGCCTAGGTGTGCCCTTGATGGGACATGTTGACAGATCTCACTTTGTTCTATTTCAGAAAATGCAGTTATGGTAATTTTTCAGGTAATATTTGCATCACGTTTTGCATCAGAGTATTCCTTAGGATCAGAACTTTATAAATGAAACTATATAGGTAGAGCACTCAGCAGGAAGCATGCGAGAATACTTGGACACCAGTCTTCATGGAGCAGAATGATACTACGAACACAGTGAGTAACATATCCTTCCCAACCATGGTCAAGTCTTATGCAGTGGAAAGTTCCAGCAAGGGAAATCCCACCAATATCAGAAAGCCTTCCAGAGGTCAAATCTCATTAGCTATTAAATATTACCACAGGAGATGAGGGATAATTCCCAGAATGCAGCAAGTGAGGCAATACTTTTTCATGAAACAAGAGCTTGTTGTACATAAGAATATGCCGTTAGGAATGAACTTCTATGAAATCACTATCTATGGGACATGTACCCCCAGGATGTTGTACTTTAGAGAGTTCATGTTGTAGATAAGCCTAAGAATTACCTTGGAAATGTGTGCTCCTGAAGTAATGCTGTCATGGAAACCTCACAATTATAGATGTGGGTACCAGCAGTCTAAGTGGCTGACAGATGTTTCCTTCAAAGTAGGAAGTTTTAAAAATATGTGAATAAATGAATCATTGAAACATCTGAATAGGAGATTTCTTGTATTTATGGCTTATTGTCCTCTGTCACATAATGCTTTGTATTTGGGCATTGCAGGTAGCTGTTGCAGAAAGCGTGAAGCATATGTAGCTTATGGTCCCTCTGATGTGTCAAGACACTACATGTCACTGGCTTTTCTGTCTTAATACTGTGAAAAGGGTAATTGATTTAACATGGCTTTTTTTGCTAGAATCAATAGATTAGGCAATAATAACTCATTTCTTTTTTCTTATTGTTTGTTGACATCTACAGAGATTGGTTGTTAATATTGACCTTCTTCTTCAGTAATGTTAACATTTCCAGTGCCCTTAGAGTCTGAGAAACATTTTATATAAAGTCTTGTATATGCAGAGGCAGGAACCAAGAGTAGCACAGTGATACAAGATATTGACTGAAAAAGGGGTGGTGAGCTGCAGTCCTCCGCTGCAGACTCCTGAGGGACGAGAGTGGTGACCTGCAGCCCTCTGCTGCAGACTCCTGAGGGACATAAGGCCTGAGGCTGTTCCTCCTGCCTGTGTTCTCAGGCTGTGGGACCCAGGCACAGCTTGCCTCCGAACTGCTGTGATGAAATACAGCTGCTCTGTGTTGCTGCTGTTCTGGGTGTTGTTAAAAAAAATTAGTTGTGGAAACCAATTATTTAAGAGTGACAATTCACTCTTAAATAAGTAAAATACAATGAATTTTGTGGTGAAATACTCTGTGAACATTCAGGGAAGCGGCTTTTGCCTTCCTGCACATTTCTGTGACTACTGGACAAGTATTAGGAAACAAGATTTCTGTAATTTCTTCATTTGACATATTTGTGTTTCACCTTCTTTCAATAGCTCCATGACTCCTGGGTAATTTAAAATAGTAATTTAAAATTACTATTTTAAATTTCATTTCCTTTAAAATGTAGGAAACATCCCTTAGCTAAAATAGAATTTTATAGTTCATTCTCTCTGTAATGTTCAGAAATGTCTAATATCAAGCTTTTGAGCTTGATTTCAAACTTCAGAAAATTGAGATTTTTCTTACACAGAAATTGCTTTTTAAAAATGTATTTATTTTGTTTATTTTTATGAGGTGCTGAAGCTCGAACCCAGTGCCTCACATGTGTGAGGCAAGTGTTTACCACTGAGCTACAACCCAGCCCCCACTTGTTTTTAAAATTTTTTTATTTTAGTCTTCAATGGATCTTTATTTTATTTGTATATATGTGGTCTGAGAATCAAACCCAGTTTCTCATAMTGCTAGGCAARCGAGCTTACCACTAAACCACAGCCCCAGCACCCAAAATTGTCTTATTAGTATGGTTTATGTAATTTCTATTCTAATCATATTCTTTCTTTAATTAATTTTGCAACATGGTTGGGAAGTTAAGACATAAGATAAATGTGATTAAATTTCTAAGCCAATATAACAGAATTTCAATGTCCAAATTGTCCCCACTCTTTTTTCATAGTAATTTTTTTGTGGTGCTAGGGATTGAACCTAGGGCACACCAGGCAGGTGCTCTCCCATTCAGCTATACCCTCAGCCCCTCTCATAGTGATTTTTTTTGGGGGGTGTGTGTGCCAGGGATTGTATCCAAGGGTGCTTTACCACTGAGCCACATCCCTAGCCCTTTTTATTTTTTATTTAGAGACAGGGCTTCACTAAGTTGCTGAGACTGGCCTTGAACTTGCAATCCTCTTGCCTCTGCCTCCTGAGCCACTAGGATTACAGGCAGGTACCATTATGCCTGGCTCATAGTAAATTTTTTAAAACAATTTTTATTTAACTTTTAATTAATTAGTTTATTTATTATTTGTATGTGGTGCTGAGGATCGAACCCAGGGCCTTGCGCATGCGAGTCGAGCGCTCTACCGCTGCACCGCAACCCCAGCCCCTCATAGTAATTTTTAAACATCTAATTTCCTGATTCATTATTCTTCCTCCAGTTTATGGTGTGCCTATTTTCTCTAATGCTTGAAAGTTATTTTGCCCGGTAAAGGAAACAAACCTTTGTAAATGAACAAACAATAACAGAATGATGTTCGGCTTTGTGATTTTTCCACTTTTCCCTTTCATCCCTCATGGTGTCTCTTTCCTAGTCATACAAATTGGTTCATTAGGTCTAGTACTGAGTCAGCAATCTTTTCCAAATTTGCTTACTCCACTTTTAGGTTATTCCATTAACTTTTAAGCAGTGAAACCTAATACTGTCTTCAATGGGTAGTGGAACTTCAGCACTAACCTGCTGATTGATTGTCCAAGAAGAGAACAACCCTCAGCTTTTTGAGAGTCAGGCTCTAGTCACAGGGAGGTTCAGTGCTGACTCAGAGACCTAGTCCACAGAGGACCTGGTGTGCACCCAGTTGCTTTGTGAAGCCTCTTTGGAACTTTCTGGTTCTGCCACGTCCCTGGGGGGGAGCTCTGATTCTGGAATTAGATATTTTTAGTGTATGTTTTAAATGCCTTAACTACAAAAAACATCTTTCTACACTTCCCTCATTGATTTCCTATCATAAATCCCACATCACGTCGGAAGTTTTGGGGTTGGGATTGTGGCTCAGTGACAGAGTGCTTCTCTAGCACATGTGAGACATTGGGTTTGATCATCAGCAACACATAAAAATAAATAAATAAAACAAAGGTATTTTTAAAAAGGAAATTTTGCTGGGCATGATTGTACATGCCTATAATTCAGCTTCTTGGGAGGATGCAGCAGGAAAATTGAAAATTTGAGGCCAGCCTCAGAAACTTTGCTAGACTCTGTCTCAGAAAGCACTAGGAATCTAGGGATATAGCTTATTGATAAAAGTACTCCTGGGTTCTGTCCCTAGGACAAAATAATAATGATGTTAAACTGATTTTACTTGTGATTTCATGGAGCATATTAACAATACTGAGGGAGAATACTTAATATGGGATAGCATTCCTTGTTATCCTATTTGGCCACCAGTTTCTTCCACAGATCTCAAATTGTATGCAGTTCTACAAAAGATGATTTATACTGTACTCTTTTTGCTAAGGAACGGGGCTCTTTGGAGGTCCAGTTTGTGCATTTTGAAACCTATCCTAGGTATGTCCTCTGTTTGGCTTTTTTTTTTTGGGGGGGGGTGGACTCTGCCACAGTTATCTGTGGATCCCCCATAGGTTCCTGATGTTGATTTGAAGAATGTTACCTGTAGAAACCTGAGATGAATACCATGTATAATTTATCTAGCAAAGCCTTTATTATAAATAACAGAGTATAGACCTCTAGGCCTTTGGGATCTACCCTTGAGACTTCCACAGTCATTTGGTTGTTTGTCTGGCAGTACGAATTCAGGTTGTCAATCTCAGTGGGCCTGCCTGTCTACTTATTTGCTTAGGGTACCAGCAAGCTTTCAGATGCTTAGCACCTGAGAATACTGTTCTGAGTGCTCATTAATTATCCAGGGCCCTTGCAGCTTCAGGCACACTCTCTGCACCTTGCTCCCATTCTTTTTAGTTCATTTTCTTCACTTCTTACATGTAGTGGTCATTTCAATGCAAATTTGGTAACACATTTCCATGTTGAAATATTGTGATCCACTGAGGACTCTTCATTGAAATGTACCAGGACTTTTATACAAACCCATGCCAGTATTTTTAAAAATTATTTTTCAACATAATTTTTTTCTCCTATGCAATATTTTCTGGTTTCCTTGAACTATTGGCAGTTCCTAGAGGTTTCTGTACTCTCTGATCTTTGTTTTTTTGGGGGTGGATTTTTTTTTCAAATCTATTGCAACTAAATGCTGTGGTTCTTTGTTAATGCTTATCCAGTATTTGATGCATGTGGTTATGAACCTGTCCATGTATTTCTCACTGTGACAATTAATCATTGTATGTTTTATCTTTTCCATTAGAAGGCTTCTGGAAAGCGTGACTCTTGTCTCTAGTTGCTGGAGTTATAATATTTAATGTTGGCTGTTTTCTGTTCCATGGAGAAATATGGTCTGCAGTAGAGAAGATGAAGCTATGGTGGAAGCAAGGTCCAGAAAAGGCCTGGTACCTGCTTCTCCTTGTCTTGATGTCCAGATTTACTCTGCCCTTTCCATGCTTCAATTGTTGGGATAATCCAGATATCCTAATAAAGCCTCTTGTTTGCTTTGCTGGTTCATGTTGTGTTTGTTACTTACAATCCAAATATCCTTACTAACAGGAAGCCAGGCTGTCATAAGGTGGGTTTTTAGGAAGCAGGCACTGAGAAGTTTGGGGTACAAGGTGTTTCCTGAGGTTAGCAGGGAGAATAAGAAAGGATTAAATAGAGGAAAATGACAAACTGGACTTTCGGTTGTCCCAAGCCAATGGCGCCCAGAGCAGATATTTTTCGCCGGAATGTCTTGGTGGGCCATGATGGCCAGGCCTGGCTCAGCTGTGGGAGGCAGGCTAGGGGCCCTCAGGAGACCTGGACAAGTTGATAGCCAGGTTGTCTGCTGACTGCTCCCTCTGCCAATGGACAGCATGTTCTTCCTTGAGGAGGATCTGGACGATGCATCTGGGACTGCAGTTTGCCCTTCCCCTGCTTAGACACTGTCTTAAGTTACCTCTGGAAGTCGCTGCTCTAGGGTTTCAGTGGGGCTCTGGGACACCGAGGAAGGTGAGTAGGACCAGCCACAGCTCCTCCGGCTGTGTTTGCTGCCTGGTAGCTCCTTTATTATGGCCTCTGGCATGTCCCAGGATCTCATCCCCACAGGGTCTGAGCCCTCATCACCATGCCCTTCCCTGATCCAAGCTGTTGTCTCTGCCCATTTACTGTAGTAGTTTGGCCTGGAAGCCCCAAGAGGTGCCTAGAGGGTCCTGAGTTCCCCTCCTGTGGTCTGCTCTGTTGTGTGATGGCAGCTGAACCTCTTGGTGGTCAGTGCCAAGCAGCCCTGCAGAACTCCACTCTCCTGGCTTGCTGGTCCTGACCACAGGGAGCACAGACTTCCCACAGGGGATCTGTGGTTCATGGCTTAGAACACATGCTCTGACCTGTGGTGAAAAGGAGTCAGGAACTCTAGCCCCGCAGAGCCCAGAGGTGTCACATGAGGCATAAGGTTCCCCATGGGGTCTTTGGTCACAGAGGCAGGTGTTCTGCTCTCATCCAGGTGTTTGGGCCCTGTACATTCTCTTTGGGCATGCAGAGCCATGCTAAGGTCTTTGGCCTGCCTGGTTGCTGCAGGCACACCTCCAGCAGAGCTCTTCAGAGTACAGCACCACTGTGAGGGTGCTGGGTCCAGAGGATCCTCGCATCCTGAGCATAGTCTTGCATTTCCTTTGCTTCAAAGTGGGTCCCCTCATCTGATGCACTGTTATTTGGGTCCCCAAATGGCATAGCACACTAAGTCTTTGTAATTGTCCTGGCTGAGGCCCAATGTTCAGCGAAGAAAAACCTTCCCTTGAATCTGCCCTGTAAGAACAAACCGCTGGGTTTTCTCAACCCAAATGGCCAACGTGAGACCAGTTTTTACTGGTATCCTTCAGGAACCGTACCTCCAGGGGCACAGCCGTGGCCTCTGGTGAAAGTTTACTGCCGACAGTGGCTGAAACAGCCATGGAAACGGGAGTTGGGTGTTGGCCCTGCACAAAAGCCCTCTTTGCCACACAGCTGCCTGTTCATGTGCCAGCTGGGCCAGCGCTATTGTGGCAGCCCCTAGCCAGATCTGGTTGCTCTCATGGCTGTCTGGAGCCTCTTCCATGACGTTCTCTGATCAGTGTCTATGTGCAACATGAAGATCTCCATGCATGCCCACCTACACGGTCTGTTTTTACTGAAGCCCTGGTCTGACTTTCCCCTTCCAGGCCCTGTCCAGCCAGCTGGACCGTGCACCAGGTCCATGTGTCTGCAGGCCTTGGGCCACTTTCCACAGGTGGATAGCTTCATGCATCTGTAGCAGAGTGGCTTCCCTTTGTGACTGTCAAGTTGCCCTTAAGTGAGTTGCCTTGCTTCCATGCAGAACTGAGGCTCTCCTGTCTGACAGGTTGCACAGGGCAATAGGTGGCCATCGGCAGTGGAAATAAGTGCAGCTATAGAAGTGGGGGTTACAGYCCTCAGGGAGGCATCCCTTTGGGTAATGGCTGCACCTGTCTACATTGACGCTGCAGTCTTGGTGTGACTCAGCCCTTTGTGGACAGTGTGACCACATCACTTGATGGATTGCAATGGGGTGTTCCATCTCTCAGGTCCTGATGACACACCAGGAGCTTTTCTCAAGAGCACATGTGCAATGATTTTAATGTGGCCACCCCTCCCAAACTCATGCTGTATCTTGGTCCCCAGTGCGGTGGTGTTGGGAGGTGTTGGGGCTTCAAATTTGTTTTTTATTTTTTAATACTGGGGATTGAACTGAGGGGCACTTTACTGATGCACTGTTATTGCTTAGCTGCATAGCCAACTTTTTTTGAGACAGGATCTCCTTGATTTGCTGAAGGTCTCCCTAAGTTGCTGAGGTTGGCCTTGCATTTGCTGTCTTCCTATCTCAGCAACCCTAGTCACTGGGATCACAGGCCTGTGCCACTGTGCCTGGCTAAGGAAGACTCATGCTCCTTGAGGGAGCAGGTTCTTGCTCTCTTGGGACTGGGTGACTGCACTGTGAGACTGTGGTGTTATGAAGTGAATCTGGCACCTTTTCCCCTTTCTCTCTCTGTGTCCTTCTGATGCTTCTTTCCAGTACTTGCATGAGGCCCTTGACAGATGCATCTACCTCATCTTGAGCTTCCCAGCCTCCTGAACTGGGAATTATATGAATCTTTTTAAAAATAATTACCATGGTCTCAGGTATTGTTACAGCAACAGAAAACAGACTAAAACGATAAAATTGTCCACCACCAGATGATTTTCCTACAGAGCAGCTGAGATGGGCCTGTGGTTCTCCCCTGGGGTCTATCACAGACTCTGTGTGGCATCTTTCCCTGTTACTGACACTTTGAGCTCCATAGGGTGTGCTAGATTGCATGCCCAAGCATCAGGGCTGCTTTTATTGGCTGACCTTCTGGAGAGCTCTTTGCTCTACCCCTCACGCTAGAAGCTACTTAATGTAATGTACTCAAGTTCCATTCATTTTTCTGCAAATGACATGATTTCATTCTTCTTTATGGCTGGAAAAAAATTCCATTGTGTGTATGTACCACATTTTCTTTATCCATTCTTCTGTTGATGGACATCTAGATTGGTTCCATAGTTTGGCTACTGTGAATCATGTTATAATAAACATGGGTATGCACATATCACTGTAGTACAATGACTTTAACTGAAAATAATTTCTAGCCAGSCGCAGTGGCCCATGCCTATAATCCCAGTGGCTTGGAAGGCTGAAATGGAGGATTGTGAGTTCAAAGTCATCGTCAGCAAAAGTGAGGCTCTAAGCAACTCGGTGATACCCTGTCTCTAAATAAAATACCAAACAGGGCTGGGGATGTGGCTCAGTGGCTGAGTGCCCCTGAGTTCAATCCCGAATACCAAACCAAACAAAACACCAAAACAACAACAACAGTAACAATAAAAACCCCAAAAGTAATTTCTAAATACTGGGTAAAGGACATTCAGGTGAAAGGATTGCTGAAGGAAGGATTCCTTTAAGATCAGTTCACTGTTCTCTGGGCCTAGTGGGCATCTGGCTAAGATGTCATTACATATTGGAAGGTCCTCAAGAGTCCTCCTCTATCAGACATGGCAGTATCCCAGGGGTTCAGTGAGTCCAGAGCGCTTGTTTCTGCACCTCTTAGGGTGCAGGCAGGACAGGCGGGGGTTTCCCCAAGTCGTTAGGGAGCATCTTTCAGCAGCTCTGTAGGGGCAGGCCAGACTGTTAACTGCTGTAACAGTCACAAGGCTCTGGTTTCCTGTTGGCCAGCAGGCTGGGGGCTGCGGTAGGACCTCAGGGAGGTGGTCTCCTGGGCTCTGGTTTCCTGTTGGAGTCCAGGGCGGGCTGGCAGTTGTGTAGAGACACAGGGAGTGTGGTCCCCTGGGGTCGGTTTTCAGTCTTAGGAGTTACTGTCCTGGTTTGTAGAAGGTCATCTCGGAGACTTATTTTCTGGTCCTTGGTTTTGTGGCTGGTACCGGGGCCTCCTGGGAGTTGTAGTAGAGCCAGGTCCTCTGGGCTCCAGTTTCCTGGTAGGGTCCCGGGGAATGCTGGGAGTTGTAGTAGAGCCGGGTCCTCTGGGCTCCAGTTTCCTGGTAGGGTTCCCGGGCATGCTGGGAGTTGTAGTAGAGCCTATAGGAGGCAAGTTCTCTGGGCTCCGGTTTCCTGGTAGGGTCCCAGGGCATGCTGGGAGTTGTAGTAGAGCGTCTAGGAGGTCCTACTAAGCCGAGAGTTGATTGTGGTTGTGTTGGTCCTGCAAAGGCCGGTGCTTGGTTGTTGCAGAGTTGTTCTGCAGTGAGGAGACCTGTCCCACAGCGGTGTCCCTCGGCGGAAGCTGCGCTGCGCCGCAGGGGAGGAGGCGGCGTCCTGGCTAAGCTGCTGCGCCGAAGGAGCACCCGCTGGCCCCTGAGGCTCGCGGCTCCCGACCAAGTCGGCGTCGCGCTGCACCGCTCTTTCCCGGAGCCTCCTGAACCATGTCTGTGGTAAGCTGACTCCCATTTCCTCTCGGGTGCGCAGCTGGTTCAGGCTCGGGTCGCCAGCGCGCGGAAAAGGCCGAGTAGTACAGGCGGCTCTGCCCTCGCCTTGGACCGCTGCTCTGCCCTGGCCTAGCTCTTGGGCCGCGGCTCTGGCCTGGCCTTGGACTGCGGGGTCTGCCCTAGCCAAGCTCTTGGACTGCAGGCCCCGCACTGGCTTTGACCGCGGGCTCTGCCCTGGCCTTAGACTGCAGGCCCTGCCCTGATCAAGCTCTTGGACCGCGGCTCTGGCCTGGCCTTGGACTGCGGGGTCTGCCCTGGCCGGGCTCTTGGACTGCAGGCTGGGTGGCTGGAGAGGGCAGGTATCTTTCCAGATGCTGCTGTTCCTGGCTGATGGAAGGAACGTTCACCTTCTGGGCACCCCTCCCGTGGCTGCTGGCTCACGTATTCCCCAAGTCTTTAGGGAGCATCTTTCAGAAGCTCTGTAGGTGATTTGGTGAAGCCCCTGGGTACTTGATGGAGGAAAGTTCTGGAGACCCTCTCCCTTCTGGATGGGAAACCTTGTGCTGTGGTTTCACAGTCCCTCCAAGTGATTCTGATGCAGGACCCCACCTGTCTGGAGGATGCAGCAATAGCAAAATTCCTGAAGTCACAGAACCCATTTTTCAGATTTGACATTAAGTGCTTTTATCTCATTTGGGCTAAATGCTTGTCTGATTATTGTGTTTCACAGGAGTGGGCATAACAGGGTCAGCCATTCCAAATTAACACACCAGATTTTGCTTCCACATGCCTGTCCTACTTTTTGTTACAGTTGTCTCCAAATCCAGAGGCTATCTTGGAAGATCTTACTGTTTCCTTTATTAGTAAACCTTTTATCACTTTTTAAAAACTTTGAAACTAAAAAATAACTGCCATCAATCTGATGCTGCCACTAGTTCTAGAATTTTCTTTCTTTTTTTTTGGCTATGCGCTAGGGATTGAACCTAGAACCCTGCTGCACATTAGACAAGGGCTCTACCTCTGACCTCCATTCTAGCTCAAAATTTGGGACTTTTAAAATTCCCATTCATATCTTAAGAGTTAATTAGGCGAATCACTTAAGTAGTTCAAAACCAGCCTCTGAAGCAGAGGCTTGTATATTATTCCCCAACCCTGAGGGAAAGAATTTAGGCTCCTTCCTGGAGCTGTATGTACATTGCTTATCTTCCTTGTTCTGCGATGTTGTTGACTGCTGTTATGCTTCACAACTATTTCTTTGGGACAACATTATCAAAAGTGAGTGCACATGTCCCATTACAGAGGTGTTGCTGCTATGTGCTACAGCCAGTTATTACCATGAAACAGGCCAAATCATCTTAAGACAGGCTGTTGCTAAGGAAAACAGACATTGTTTATTTGATAACATTCATGAAATGTATTTTTTTGGTGGGGATACCAGGGTGCTTAACACTGCACTACATCTCTAGCCCCCTTTAAAAAAAATTTCTTTTTGAGACAGGGTCTGGCTAAGTTGCTTAGGCACTCACTTGTTGCTAATGCTGGTTTTGAACTTGCAATACTTCTGCCTCAGTCTCCTGAGTCGCTGGGATTACAGGTGTGTTCTGTGCCCAGTATGAAATATAATATCTTAAGAATTTTTTCAACTAGAGTCTGATATTCTTATTGTTCATGTATATAGTCCTAAATCTTGAACAAAATTAAATCATCTTAGAACAAATCACTTACGGTTTTTCTTCTTTTGAACAAAACAATAAGCTAAGCAGAGTCAGGCATTATGGTGTTCACCTGTAATCCCAGCTACTCAGGAAGCTGAAGCCAGAGAATCATAAGTTTTAGGTCAGTGTGGGCAGCTTAGTGAGACTCTGTCTCAAAATAAAAGGGTCTGAGGGGTGTAGCTCAGTGGTACAATGAGTCCCCAGCACGCTTGAGGCCCTGGGTAGCTCAGAGGTACAGTGAGTGCCCAGCATGCTTGAGGCCCTAGGTTGGATCCCTAGTGTGGGAGGGTGGGAGAAGCTAGATTGTTAGTTGAAAAATACTTATAATTCTGGAACCTCTCATTGTCACTACTCTGCACATTTTCCGTTCTCCACAGTGAGACTCATCAGGGACTAGCAAGGCATAGGTCTTGGTTGTGAAGACATCTGTGTCATTTCAGGAATCGGTGACATTCAGAGATGTGGCTGTAGACTTCTCCCAGGAGGAGTGGAACTGGCTTCAGCCTACTCAGAGAGATTTGTATAGATGTGTAATGTTGGAGAACTACAGCCATCTGGCTTCACTGGGTGAGTATTCCTCCCAATTGCCAACAGGCCACAATTTCATCTTTATTATAGATGTTGGAAATGGATTTTTACAAATTATTTCATCAGATGGAAGTATAACATCATCAAATCTTCAAATTTTTCATACTTCAATCTGCTACTTATTTTAATGGTCCCTTTTTTCTTAGAGTTTAAGGACTGACTTTGAATTTATTTTGTTTTCTGTAAGCAGGTCTTTCCATTTCTAAGCCAGATGTGGTTTCCTTATTGGAGCAAGGGAAAGAGCCCTGGCTGGGAAAAGGAGACGTGAGCAGAGATCTCCCTTCAGGTGGGTGAGGTAGAAACTGCCAGGGAAAGTTTTTAAAGTAACAGCACCATTAGTCAATGAAAAGGCAATACTTTTAGAATGCAAGTTGGGAATTTTCCCACAAACATACCAACGATGTGGAGATGATGAAGCCTTGCTTACAGCGTACATGAGAGAACTCAGCCACATCCCARCCCTTCTTTTTCTTTCTTTTCATATTTTATTTAGAGACAGGGTCTTGTGGAGTTGCTGAGGCGGCTTCCACTCGTGACCCTCCTGCCTCTGCCTTCTGGGCTGTTGGGATGCAGTATGGCCGCCAGGCCTGGCCTCACTGTGCCTCCTGCTATCTCACCTTTCTTCCTTCAAATCAGCAAATGTGTCTGTTGCTTAAATAAGAAGTCATGTATAGTTTATAGTGCTGTTCTTTTTAGTCATCTTGGAAAGATTAAATCGTTGTTGTTTGGCTGGTTGATGATCGATTCATTTATTCATGTATTAATATTAACTGAAATTTTAATCTTGTCAAGACTTTCTCTCAGGCAATACAGAGACTAAACGATATACAAAATTGTTTAAACTATCAAAGAATTTGTGGCCTTTGTGTGTTTTTAAGAAACACGAGTTAGAGATTAGCAGTTCCACAATGAGAGAAGGAATTTCAAGTTGGTATTTTAGGCCGGAATATTTTGGGTAGGGATTGAAAAGAAAACAAAAAACAGGAAAATCCTGGGTTTTATTTATTTATTTATTTAATATTTTTTTAGTTGTTGATGGACCTTTATTTTATTTATTTGTATGTGCTACTGAGAATCGAACCCAGTGCCTCATACATGCTAGGTAAGCATGCTACCACTGAGCCACAACCCTAGCCCCAGGAAAATCCTGGTTTTAGAAAAAAGATGACAGATAAGTTTGAGATATACTTGTTGGGATTAGAGGATGATACAAATGAAGGTGTTCAGCCATGGTTGTTGGAATGTATCTTAGAAAAAAGTTCAGGCTAGAGATGCAGATTTAGGGATCTTACACAAAGARGTAAAAATTGAAGCCATAAATAAACTGAGAATGACTCCGAACGCCTTCCTCACCTTTGGTTGGCAATGCAATTGCTGATCAGACGCATCTTTATTTTTATTTTTTTGGTACTGAGGATTGAACCTAGGGGTGCAAAACCATAGAGCCCCAGCCCCATCTTTTTATTTTTAATTTTTTTAACATTAAGAAATTTTTTTAGTTGTACATGGATATAATACCTTTATTTTTATTTACATGGTGCTAAAGACTGAACCCATGCAAGGCAAGCCCTTTACTACTGAGCCACAACCCCAGCACCCCAATTCTTTTTATGTTTTAATTTGAGACAGGGTCTCCCTAAGTTGCTTAGGGCCTCTCTAGTTCCTGAGGCTGGCTTTGAACTTATGATCCTTCTTCCTCAGCCTCCTAAGATACTGGGATTATAGACATGTGCTATTGCACCTGGCTGATGAACCTCTTTAAAAATACATATGGCCATGCCCACTCTTGAAAATTTATTATGGAAAAAATATGAATCTATATTTGTATGTCTTTAGAAAAAGTTCTGTAACCTCTGTAGCTGGTGCTGAATCAGAGGTCTACTAAAGGCACAGTGACCTTTAGAGAATGGTCCTATTGAGGAAAAAGGAAGACATCTGTGTTTAGGAAAYAGCAGCATATAAGGCCTGAAGAGGCAACAGGAGATGTGCTGTAAGAACATCTCTTGCTGTCARGAGAGTAGTTGTCATTAATGTCCTGGTACAGAGGCTTCTAAGAGGATGCAGAGAAGGTGTTAGGAAGAAGGTGCTGATGTGGACTAAAGTCAAGTGGGAAAACATGTACAGGGGACTTTATTCAAATGCAAGTTAAACAGTAAAGATGTCTTTTTCTAAACTTTTATTCATTTAGTTAGTTGTGATAGGGTCTTGCCATTACCCAAGCTGGTCTCAAATTCGTGGGCTCTAGCAGTCCTCCTGCCTCAGCCTCCTGTGTAGCTGGGGTGATAGGCATTTGCCATCTGACTTGTTTTGGGCAATAAAAACAAACAAACAAAATCCAAAACCAATGCGATCACATATTGGGGAAGTAAGAAAAGGGACAGCGTGGAGGAATTGCTCGGATTTCACTACTGTACTGTGGCTCTTGGAAATTTTGTCTTTCTTCCCAGTACTAGCGATTGAACAGGGGTTTAAGCATGCTAGGCAGGTCCTCTATCACTGAACTATGCCCCCCACCCCAGCCTTTATTTTATTTTTTGATACAGGATCTCATTAAGTTGGCCAGACTGGCCTTGAACTTGTGGTTCTCCTGCCTCAGCCTCCTGAGTAATTTGGATACAGGTGTGCACCATCATGTCTGGCTTTCCTGTTACATTTTTTGGGGGTACTTAGTACTAAGGATTGCACATAGGGGTGTTTAATCTCTGAGCCACATCTCCAGCCCTTTTTATTTTTTTTTATTTTGAGATAGTGTCTCCCTAAGTTGCTTAGGGCCTCACTGGTTGCTGGGGCTGGCTTTAAACTTGGGATTTTCCTGCCCCAGCCTCCTGAACCACTGGGATTATAGCCGTGAACCACCATACCTGGCTCTGTATCTTTTTTTGAAAACTCCTTATTGTGAAATATCACACAGAGACAGTAATGATGTGTAATCATAAACATGCATCTTTTTTTTTTTTTTTTTGGTACCAGGATTGAACTCAGGGTACTTAACCCTAACCATATCCCCAGCCCTTTTTATATTTTATTTAAAGACAGGATCTTGATAAATTGCTTAAGGACTTTGCTAAGTTGCTGAGGCTGGCTTTGAACTCACGATCCTCCTGCCTCAGCCTCCTGAGATGCTGGGATTACAGGCGTGTGCCACCATACTTGGCTAAAGTAAACACTTTACATTTAAAAGTTTTTACCATAMCCTAGTCTAGCTCTAATAAGATCAATAGAGACATCTAGGTAGTTGAGGGAGGCAGAAAGATTGGTAACAAAATAAGGACATAGAATCCACAGGACATAGTAATTGAATAGATGAACATGACTAGACATGAAGAAGGTTCAGGAATTATGGTTGGTATCATCATTTGCTTGGTAGTATTATCTCCTAAGAAGAGAATGATGAGCAAGTTTGTGTAGGGGCTCAAGAGTTTATCAGTTTGTGTTTTGGGTCTCCGTGGGACACCTGAGTATCATTTATGGAGCTGAAGAAAGATATCTCAGTGCTCCTCAAGTTTTAGTCTGCACAAAAGTCACCTGGAGAAGTACCAAATCCTTCCTGGGCATCTCCCAGAAATTCTGTGAGTAGGTTGGGGGTAGAGTGCCAGATTTGCATTTTGAACAAATTACCAGGGGATGCTGATATTGAGCTAAACTAGATATTTAGGAGTTACCTGGAGAGATTTTTAAATGTTTAAATTTCTTTGTAAAATTCCTGTGTGATTACTACTGAGTTTTTTTCTTAACTAACTTTCCCCAGTTCTTACTAACAAGCTATATTGCTTCTCTACAGCCAAAGCTAGTGAATTTGTGTATTTATATCACTTAAACTTTGTTGTAGAAATAAAAATACCCCAAACCTTTCTAGACTGATTTTTTTTCTTGTAAATACTGAAAGGATGTTTTGAAAATAACAAACTTTACTTTAGGATGGCTTTATGTTCACAAAATTGAGAGGAAAATACAGATAGTTTCCATTCAGCCGTGGTCTCCACACATATACAACTTCCCCGGTATTGACGTCCCTTGCTACAGTAGTGCATTTCATATAAAGGGACTTGAGCACCATGGATTTTATTGTCCAGAGTGTGTCCTGGAATCGGTCCCTGTGGATACAGAGGGATGACTGTGTTCTCTGTTGCATCTTGCTGTATCGGTTGGGATGTCCAGTGTCATGTGTAAAGGCAGTGGTGGGGGCACATCCTTCTTCTCCTGGTGTCACCAGGAAAGCTTCCTAGTTCTCACCATTCTGCATGATGTTAACTTGAGCTTTGTGGGTTTTAGATCAAGTTGACGGATCTCCCCTTCATTCCTGTTTTGCCAGGAGTTGTCATGAGTGGGTTTTGGAGTCGGCAGGTGCTTTTTCGTATCTGTGARTTTGTGATTTCTGCCTCGTGTGTTGTGTTACGGTAATTGATTCTCAAATGCTGAACCAGCCCTGCATATCTGCAATCAGTCCCACTTGGTGCTGGGTGTGGTTCTTTTTATACGCTGTTGGGTCTGACTTGCTAATACAGGTAACCCTTTAGACCTGTGGAGGGTTGGATCTAGGACTGTCTGCCTGCAGATGCTCAGATGGCATAGAGTTTTCATATGAGCTGTCACATCCTCCTGTGCACTTTAAATCACCTCTAAGTTATTCATAGTGCCTGATGCAGCATGAATTCTACAGGAATTTATTGCACTGTTGTTGGGCAATAATGACAAGTCTATATACATGTTCAGTAATTGTTTTCTTGAATTTTTTAAACATTTATTTTTTAGTTGTAGGTGGACACAATATCTTTATTTTATTTTTTTGTGGTGCTGAGGATCGAACCCAGTGGCTTACGCATGCTAGGCGAGTGCTGTACCTCTGAACCACAACCCTAGCCCTTTCTTGAATATTTTTGATGTGTGGTTGAATCTGTGGATACAGAGAGCCAACTACTCAGGGAAGATTTCTACATGATGTTCATGGGAGACAATGCTTATAATTTTCTTTTCTTCTAATATCTTTGGTATTAGGGTAACGTTGACCTTCTAGAACGAGTTAGGAAGTATTCTCTTTGTTTCTGTCTTCAGAAAGAGAGTGTAGAGAATTTGGCAAAAATTCACCAGTGAACCCATCTGGACGTGGTACTTTCTGTTCAGGAAAGTTATTATTGATATAGTTCTTTAATTGATACAGGCCTATTCAGGTTGTCTTTTTTTTTTTTTTTCCAGTTGTAGATGGACAGATGCCTTTATTTTATTTTATTTATTTTTATGTGGTGCTAAGGATCCTGTGGTAGGCCAGTGCTCTGCCACTGAGCCCCA